TTTGAGAATTATTTCGGCTAGGCCAATAGCTGAAAATCAAGAGGTGAACGCTGCAGTTTGATTTATATGACAAAGAAATAGGTCAATCTGCTTTTCATCTGTATTCAATTGCATTTGGATCACGTTGCTCACATGGTTTCTTCTACTTTTAGATTGCGAATGGTGTCTAGACCTCTTCATTTTGGTACTAGGTTTCGGAATTCATGATACTTATGGATAACGGTTTCTGTTCTCTTTTTCCCGGATCGGAGCTATTTTCGTCTTTTCTGTTCACATCTTCAATCTGTCAGTATGGGTTTCATTATTTGAGACTTTTCAAATGCCTGGTGAAATGTTCTTGTATGTCGCCAAGAATACTATTTTATTATTCTGAGCATTCAGTACGAAATCGCTGCGTTCAATAGTGTTTGTTTCTATGATATTGTGGATTATTTGTGCTTCCGAAAGGCTTTTCGTTGAATGCATCAATGGATTTACACAGTGTCTCTTTGTGGCTCCCAACATATCAGCAAGGAGAGTTGCTGTTTATTGGACATCAGATGCGATTGTTACATTGTATGATAATGTCAGTTGATTCTCCTTTTACCAAATTGACGTAAGACACATTCCAAGTACCATTTGTGGCTGATTACTGTCACCTTTTTACGTACGAGTGTGCTTGTAACGATTAATTTTTTGTAATTTAAGCATTTTGATGAGGAAATTATAGTCTCCTGTTGTGATTAGGATGTATAAAAAATCTCTGTCGTCTCGAATATACTGAAGAACTAAAAATAGAGAGGCAAGGAACGTTGCCGCTTCGTCAAAGTAGCTGCATTATTCATTTATAAAGGTTTCTCTAACCAATATTATTAATTCTTTTATTTCTTTTGAAATACTCATTGTTTATTGGTTCATTTGAAAGCTAAATGTTAAGCAAATTACATCTGCTACAAACATATCAAGTTAACAAATTTATTTTTAAGTCTTAGCCTGCTAAACAGGATTTATTTTTATGTATGAAAGAAGGACAGATACGAAATGATATTGCGATTTAAACGACTGTTAGGTAATAATTGATGTCTACTTGTATACACTCTATAACATTTCTAACCTACATTGCTGAATTCAAGCATAGCTTCTGGTTGCACACTTGGTATTAGCTATGAATCGTCATAAGTAAACAATTTAGTATGTTGTTGCTCAAGTAGAGTTGTATCTCATCGAAACAAAAATAGGTATGAAGAGTATGTGCTACTTTGTGTTGTTTCCTTTCTCTCTTTTTCTGATCTGACAACAAGCTATTATTAACGCATGTCACTATCACATACAAGCAAAAGACGTGAAAATTGAAATGAACATCATATCTCATTATCATAGTTTTTGCTTTCATTTGTATCAACACCAAATGTTTTTTTTAAGATTTGAAGGGTGATTGTTACATGAGCGGCTCATAAAACCAATTTTTTACGTATGAAATCCTGTTTGTACGTATCTTAACTTATTCAGGGCTTCACAATACACCTTGTCATTCTATTTATAATAAAAAGAGGACTGTTAAAAAGTAAAATTTCAGAAATAGTTGTTAAAAGTTCAACGTGAAATTGCAAATATGAGACGTGACCATTAGTTTGTTGTCGCTTGGTGGAACTGATTGTCGTTTCTCCTAGGTTGCTGTCATCTCTCACGCCTTCGGATATATAAAGATCTGTTTTACGCGTGATGAATTCATTTCGTCGATCAACACAATAGTAGCAACATCGATTCTTCTACTAGAATCTCTACTGAATACAATAAGTGCAATCATTTTCGAAACGCACGGGGTACTTAGGTTCCAGAATTTTTATTTAATTCTTTGTGATCAATAGTAAAGATGTTTGTCTCGATGTACTATGAGAATAGTACTACACTGTAAAAAAAGGGAATGCCTATATGAATCCTGGAAGGATATTGAAGGAATGTCCATATGAATTCAACAGTGAATTTCCAGCTTTTTGAAAATAAGCAAATGATATTCTAGCTTCGATTTAACATAGGAAATAAAACCAAAATTCTTAGAATTAGAAAATCCAGCATTTTCAAAATATTCGAAATTCGATGAATAAATCATAAGACTTATAAAATCCTTTAGCTTACTCAATATCGATTTTCTTCAAAATAGAATTTAAAAAAAAATTACAGTGTACTAGATTGGTAGACGGATCTTAAGCGATTGCGATGGCCAACGGCCGCTTTAGTACTATATGATGACTTCTCTTCGGGCCAATTTTTTTCAGTGAATTAAGTTCCTTGTTAAAAGACATTTATTCGCATCTTCCTATAGATTCAGATAGTTTTGCGTAAGGTCACTGCGACTGTCTGAATTTGCTGTCCCATCGGTCGCAGCGGAATCAAGGAATGACTTGATTGTCTCCGTTTGTGTTGCAGTGCATGAAATAATTTGTTAAAAAAACAGCGGTTTAAGGTCAAATTAAGTTTTCTTACTTAGGTCTTCATTTTGGAATTGTGTGTTTCTTTTGCTTTCCGTTGAACTATTATTCTTTTCATTTTTATATAATGCGGTTTGGTGAAAAAATTCTTTACTCTTTCTTCGATCTATGTGCCAAGGGAAGACTGACAAACTCCATTTCAATTCAAGAATATATCAGTTCCTTTACTGAGAATTTTTCTTCGATTACCACGTTTCTCAGTATTCTTATATGATGAACCTCTGGCAGATAGACTTGCTTGATATGTTTTCATTTCTTGGTGAGGTTGATGATTCAACATAGGATTTTGAACGCATGCCTTTTTGTTCTTTTCACTTACCGAATTCAATTCTATTGTCACAGTTGTCAGGGATGAAGTCTGGTTTTCGTTGTATAACTATGATATATAACTACACAGATACAAAATTTTTTGCTATAGTATGTACATTTCTCTTAGTTTATTTACATATATTCAATGACTTGTGAAAAAAATTTGAACATATTTTGTAAATTTTAAATTGACTTTTTTTCATTTCATATCGTACTGTTCTACGATATATACAGATCAGTAACTTTATCACATTAGTATAAAAAATGGTAAACGATATGACAGATTTAATTCATAAATTTTATCGGCTTATTCACGAAAAATAGTATGATACAAATGAGATAAGTTTATTAAAGGGGATGATTTATCTTGACGAGAAACGCTTGTGGTAAAAATTTCACCCTGATATGCTTGACTAGATTGAAGTTTCGGCTTGTTTTCCTAACTCCTAGGAGAATCAAAATAACCTCTCGTTAGAAAGGGCGCAGAGTTCAGGCTGGTTTCAAATTGTAGCTAGCCTCTGTACGCAACTTTTCATCGGACGGAATTTTGAAACTGCCTTCCATTTATTTTTTATGAGCAATTTTGTGGATATGCTTGCAAAATAAGCATAAAAAAATGCTACTCTACGACAGTAGACCCTACTATTCTCAGCCCTGGGATTCAGTATCAAAAATCCGTCCGATAAAAAGTTAGCTCTGTTTAAGATCTTTAAAAAAAAACATCGGTTATATGCCGAGTTAAGTGAAAGTTATTTCAATTTTCCTGTCTAGAAACCGTATTTTGAGAAAAATGCTAAAGAAGTTTTAGAAATGGATTTTTTCATTTTAAATCCAGAACAAATTATATTACAATGGTATATTCCAGTGAACCGTTTTAAAGGAAGTAATAGATGAGGGTAGCTAACACCATCTATCATACTGATTAATATAAAAATATTTTATTCAATGAAAATGCGAGTGGGAACGTAATTTTTCTGCAACTGAAAACCTTTAGAAACCACGGAAATTTGTCGCAAAACATGGTAGTAGATTTAAAGTTTCATGTGAAAGGCGTTTGAAAATCTGATCACTTTCCACAAAACTATACATATTCTGAGGAGAAGAAAACTTCGATGCATCTTCCTGTACTAGAAACTTAACTTCGATATTTTCTGGAGAAGCTCGATTTTCTAAGGGGGAGAGGGGGCTTTTAAATGAAACTGAAAATGAACCACCAGGGCAACATATCGGTGAAGGTGATGTTAACTTAATACTTCTATCTTCCTCTGTAGGGCAACCAGAAACGTATTCCAGTTAATGAACGAACCATAGATGATCAATATTTTTAACGAGAAGTTAAGAATGCTGGTGGTATGTTACTGGATATACTCAGTAGTAATGCAATTTATTGGTGTAAAAAAAGTGAAATGGATGACAAAGTATTTCAACATATGACACGAACTGGTACTTATTTATTAATTCAAGAATTGAATGCAACAGTTTTGAATAGTGTTCAAAGACATTTAAGCAAAATAGTCGAAGAACTTACTTTATTACTAAATGACTTACGTGAACGTCAGTGTCTGACTGATATACAAGTTCAACAAATGACTGTTCAGTGATCAATGATTCAAATCGATTATCTATAATTTTTACCGGATGCACATCAAGTAAGTATTCTTTTTTGTTTTCATTGTATTCTTTTGAGAAAATGTGTTTATTTCTGTATATAAAGTGCTATACCATTTCAACCTGTCATGGTGTGTTGCTTAGGACTCACTATTGGTATATCTCGTTACATCAGCCGTCTTCTTCAACCTATCTATGATCAAGCGACTCGTTCAACAACATTTTTCAAAGCTAGTAATGCTGTACATGCGCTAGAAAACTATGCCAAAGAAGTTCGTTTACAATCAAATACATTATTTGCTGCTATACACGTCAATGATTTATGTACACTTATACCTCATGAGCAATTGACGGAACCATTACAGCATTTTCTCTATGATTATGTACCAGATGGGCAAGTGCAAGGATTAACTGTTGATACTATTATTGAGTTAGTTCGTTTTGTTTTACAAAATCAATACTTTATTTTCGATAACAAAATTTGTCGACAAATTAAAGGTTGTGGTTCTGGTCAACCGCTCAATCATCTATTAGCAAATATTTATATGTTCTATTGGCAACAAGATTTAGTTGAAACATTAGTTAATTAAAATGAAATATTTGGCCAATATCTTAATGAAATGTTTTTTACTTGAAATAAATCAAAATGAGAACTTCAATCACTTCTTAAGAGAATGGTTCGTCAAAAAAATCCTTATTTATCAATAGCAATTTGAATTGGAAAAAATGTCGCCTATCTCTATGTTCAAATAAGTTATATCAATAGTCAACTTCGAACTATAATTAATCACGATAATGATCTTGAACCACGTGGATTATCTTTTATATCGGATCATCCACCTTTAATGTATTCAACATTAATTCAAGCATGTCTTATATGTGCAGCATTAATTCGCTCCAAAGTATCTGATTTTCACAATGAACGCTATGATGTTCAAATAGTATTTTTAAATAACGGCTATTCAATGGATTTTATAAAAGAACACGCTGAGCAATTGTTTCAAGATTTTCATATTTCCAATTGGAAATCAAATTTAAATCAAAATACCTATGATAAAATGCGTGAAGAAATTATCGAGTATGATCAACAACATCAAGAAGTGAAAATAAAACAACGATGAAAACAACAAAGAGAACAACTATGCTACATTACATCTGATTTAAATGGAGAAGAGCTATACAATTTTCAACAAAATATTAAAACCTTTTCGGAAGACTATTTGAAAAATCAACCACAATTCAATAATATAAACATTGAAGTCATTCATCGACCAAAATATCGACGGAACACAAAATGGCTGTCTATAGTTATGAAATTCAGAGATTTTTTTGTTTCTTTTGTTATACATTGCGTAGGTGGTTTTTTTTGTAAACTTTATTAAAACTAGATATCCCATAATTGTTGACTCCTACTTTTTCGAGATTGAATGTTTCCTCTTTGCATTTTAGATATTTAGTGTTCTGTATAAATGAATTATATTGAAACAAACAAAACAATTACAACAACGACATCAATTTTAAAAACACCAAGTGAAAATGCTCAAGGTCACGAGTATGAATTACTTTCTCCAACGCAAGTGTTGACTGGACAAAAGCAAAAACAGGAACCAGTTCAACCACAGAAAGGCGAAGAGGTGAAACGCAAGAAAAAAAGCCGCGGTAATCGAAAAGCACAACGTCGATGTGGACGACGTCGTCGAAAAGGTTTAGATCTAGATAGACACACTGATTTAATTCAGTGAAATGTGAACCTTCATGAAAAGCAGAAACAAATGAAAGAAGATGCTAATGATTATATACAGGTCAATGTACCAGTCGATCAAGTAATATCTACCTTTCTTATTAGTAAAGGAATCAATCAAACGTAAAAGAAATAAAATATCATCAAAACAATCACTAAATACAATTGATAAGTCTTTAAGTCAATTATCTATTTCTCAATCATCACGAAAAAAAAACAAAAGATGGCCAATCATGAAATTGAACAAATAACTACAAATGGAACATCAGACAACAAACGTTCAAAACCTAAAAGAGAAATTAATCATAATAATGACTATTCTTATATATCTGATTATTTACAAGTAACCAATCGTATATTTAAACAAATGCTAATCAGTTCATTAGAAGGTGCTGATAAAATTGTTAAACGATAAATACAAGTGAAAAAATTAACTATATTCGTCAATATGCTTGTTTAATACATCATCTATTCTATGTACAATTACGAAAAAGTCAATGGAAGTATTATTATGATATTGGTATGCAAGAAAATATTTTGCCCGGTCGCGTATCAGAAAAATGGGCTACTACGAATAGTGTGCATCATTTATATGGTCGCTCAAAAACTGTAATCGTACAACGTCTAACAACTCTTCAACAACAACTTCAAGAAGCATCACAAGCATTACAAGAGTTTGGCAATCCATCATTACCTCAATGTCTATCTGAAATGAATCATCCATTAGATATTACAACAATGTCAGCAATGATTACAGCTGTTGTCGGAAAAGGTCAACATAAATTAAAGCAACAATTTGAATATAATAAAAAAATGTTAAAATTAGACTCAACGGATCATCGTTCCGTACAATATGTTTATGATTTGAAACCTAATAAACAACAAATTCGTTCTATTCGTAATATATGAAAAGCAATTTATAATAAAAAAGCTTGTTAGCGCAACTCTTTTGGAGCTGAAATGTGGAACTTTCGTATATCCTTCAAACCTATTATGCTAATGCATTATTTGTAAACTAAAACATAGCTGTTTTCAAATAATTCCGAAAGCATTGAAATATTGTATACAATCTGAAGCCGTTTGTGTGCGGTTACTAGGTCTGTAATGAGGGGTATGTCTGTAATGTTCTCTTCCGTTGTTATGTGTCTATAATGGGATGGGGGAGGGGGAGTGAGAGCAGGAAAACCTTGACCTTAACACTTACATCCACTATTTTCTTCGAAAATATACCTGAGTTCCACAAAACAAATGAAAGAACAAATTGAGATATTAAAACATCGCATCCATTCGAATTGTTTACCACCAGCATTCAATCTTCTTGATTATTCACTTAATAAAATTGATCAAACAGTTAGCCGATCGAAACAATCTTCTACTAACGATGATGATAACAAGCAACCAACAATATTATCTGCTTGTCGTTTAAAAAAAAATTGGCCGATATAAATATCATATGCTTGAATTAAATATAGCAGCTGGTGAAGAAAAGTATGCTATTGAAATAAAATAGCGAAAAATGGAAAAAAGAAATTGGCAACTATTACCGATAAATTAAAGATAAACAATTCAGATTCAGATATATTCAAACAACTAATGGTAGCTATTGAAGCACGTGAAAACATGATCGAACCAGCTGATTATATTACATGACAAAAATTGAAATCTTTTTTCGACGAAACTCCAGCGTCACAGGACGACACAACGAACAATGATGGCGTCGGAGCAAATGAAAATTAAATATTCGAAACCATACGAATATGTTTCTTTGTTTATATTTTGCCAATACTACTATAACATTATCGAGTGAACAATTGCTTATTCCCATGTAAACACTAAACGCAGAAATTATGCGTTTAAACGCGTTTTTCTTGTGAAACCCGACTGGACTCAGTCAAAAGACAACAAAAACCATGTCTACACGCGATTTTGCACAGACCGCATCTAAACACGACTGGACTAAGACTTCAAACACATCTTAACGTGTTTTGGTTTGGAATCGCGTCTCTAGTGAAACATTTCTTGCGTCTAGACGTGGTTTTACTTGCAACCGCGCCTAGACGCATTCCATTGCTTCGATCAATATACAAACGAAACGCGATTGTGCAACTCATTTATAGGAAAAACTTTATAAAAGATTCGTTTTCTATTCACTAGAAAATATATATCAGTTTTTTTATAAAATTAATTTAGTTTGAAGTATTTAGAGTTCTCAAAAAGTTTAGAGTTCTTTTTCTCAAGAAAGACAGAATGTATATATTTTTTAATCCTAAAACATTGGTACTCTAAAATTGAAAATAATGAAATTTTAGAAATAATATAACCGAATTTTATTTTCCAAAACGAAGTTTCCACAATTAGATATTTTTAAAATTATGTAGTTGGATTTATCTAATGCAAACTCTTTTTTTGGATAAATAAGTATATTTTTATACACAGCACCTCATTGACCCATGTATCTATGAATAAGTTTATAATAGACGATGCATATATAGATTCTGTTTCGTTCTACAACTAATGTGATCCCATGTGGCTCAATGGTATATACACTTGCTTTCTAATCGCTAGTTTACTTGTTCTAACCTCATTTCTATCATTTTAGAAACATTAAAATTTAAACTTTCCGTTGGTCTGTAGTTAGGTAAAGACGATTGCTAGGCAATATTGATAGCGAATCAGATCAAACCTGAGACGAATTGTAATGCATTTTATAAATTTGAAATAGAGGCATTTCTTTTATCGACAACATATGGAAAAAATTATTGAACGAGCATACAATCACCTCTATAATGAAAATGTTAAAAATCTTACCGATTACATGTTTTCAACGCGTGATACACGTCCTATTGAATATTTTGCTCTAATAAAAAATTTACTTCAACAGCTATATACGAAACCAATAGCAAAAAAACTTGAAACACATGCTCGATGTATGTACAAAATGATAAAATCAATGCAACGACAATTATGCAAAGCTAATATTGCGGTCTGACAAACTGATAAAAGCAAATTATTTTTCTTTATTGATCCACATAAATATGAAGAAAAAATTAAAAGTTATATGACAAAAACAAACGCATATCAAGAAATCACCAGTGGCATTTGTCCATTAGAAGATGATTTACATTCTGTATTAACTTTACTTGATGATCTATTAAAGCGTAAAAAAATAACGAAAGATCAATATTAACAAATATATACAAATCTAAATACATTAGAATTTGCTCATATTTATTTCAATCTTAGAGTACATAAGGTAAAATCGTTAGTTTGTTATCTAAATATTTTTTCTATCATACGTTTCTTGTGGCCTGAACTATCAGTTTGACCTATTCTTGCTTCAATTAATGCATCTGCTAGACAAATATCCAGTTTTCTTGATCAACTTCTTACTCCAATTTATAATCATGTGACAAAAGATATGACATTCATCAATGGTATAGATCTCACCTGAACAACATTATCTATAACTTTTCATGTTGCTGATTTATACACAATGATACTACATGATGGCCCTATTGCTGCTTTAAAGCGATTCTGTAAAAACTATTCAATAAATGGAAACATTGGAAATCTCAAAATATAAACTATGATTCAATTAGCATGTGTTGTTTTAGATACCAATTCATTTGCTTATAAAGATAAGTATTATCGGCAAATTAAAGCGTATGATGCCTTATTTGAATTTCCTGTAGCTTGTATCATTTTTTGTTGATGGATATAGAGGAGGTATAGGAGATATTGGAGTCATTGATTAATTGGTACAGATGATCATTCGATAGTATTTGAATTTAAACATCTATTCATAAAATATATTGGTGTCATTTGCCAATCCTTGCTCGAAAAACTCAATTCCTATACCTCCTATATCTTGATAAACAGGAAACTATAGGAATGTCCGGAAATTCAAATAAGGTATATAATCAATTAAACGTGGTGCCATGGGTTCACCATTTACTATGGTTTTAGCAAATATTTATATGTTAGAATGGGAGCAAAAATTAATTCAACACCAAAATAGACATCATGAAATTTATGGACGGTTAATTTTGCATTTATTAGTTACTTTTTTTTACTCTAATAATCATAAATATTTATGGATATATTGACGACATATTTATGACAACCAATATATCCAAAGAAGATATTCTGAAAGAACTTGATGAAACCACTAAAACAGATTCAAGTGTTAAAATTACTACTACTATCAGTCAATCATTAGAATATCTTGATGTTACTATTGAAAATAATAATGGACATTTAAAGATATCTATTTATCATAAATCAGCTTCAGAACCCTATATTCTACCTTATGAATCTGATCATCCAAGACACATTCATGCGAATATAATTTATATTGCATTAGTGCGAGCTGCACGTAACTGTTCCAATGTGGAAGATTTTGATATAGACCGATTAAGTACAGAAATGATATTACTAGTTAACGATTATCCACCAAAATTTATACAACATCATATTGAAAAATTCTTTGTTAAATATGATTCTATGAGTGTATGGGCTGAATTAAACAGTGAAGTCAATCAACAACTACATAATATGTTACTTTACAGACCAACAAAAAGAGAAAACAAAACATAAATCTCGAGTCTTTGTCAATTAATTCGAAAAACGAAAAACTATGAACATAAAGATCAAATTTATCTTCATTACATGTTCGAAAATGGACCATTATTAAATTTCAAAAAAGAATATCATCAAATATGGCAAAAGTTCTGTTTATCCATGATCACATTTCAAAAATACACGACCAATTCTTGGTACAATATTAAATCGTACTTTACAAAGTCTTTTTTTATACGCAGATAGCCTCCACAAGATATGTTGACCAGGATGCAACTAACCACAGAAGCAGCTCGTACAACAATGAAATAACGGTTTAATCATTAACATTTGTTTCTTTCAGGCATCCCAATTGTGAAGAGTGTTTCCTTCCTGTTTGTTCGCTTCTTTCTCAATTTTGTTCTCAATAGAGAATATTCTGCTATTATCATTAGATCTTGTTACTAGATAAACATTGGTTTTTTCTTCCTGTTTATTTTTCTGTTACATACGTGCAACATGTCGAATACAACCATTTATTACATTTTTCATTATTTAAGCTCAGATATTTGACCAATGAACATGTGAACCATTACCATTTTCTAGTTCATGTTTCGTTATTTTTCCTTTTTCTTTCTTTCATTTGATATATGTTCACTTTGAAACCAGACGTATTTCATACTTTCATATATTCTAGATATATACTAATCAACACAATATCTACAAACAATAATCGCAAACACGTAATAGCAATATATAAGCAATCACTGTAAGCAAATCATAGTTATGATAAAACTGATGAGTGGCCCTTAAGCAAGACTGACACGCGTCGTAAGGATGCTTGGCAATCTAAAAATT